CTGTTTTTTTTTTCCATTGCAAAGTTTACTAAAATGGAATTACGAGGTTTGCCTGTCATAGATAGGTCAAAAGTTGTCACACTAATTATAAGTGGATACTGTTCGGATATCACATGGGGAAAATTCATCAAGTTATTCACTAATTTAATTTTCTAAAAGTTTTCATGATTATTTTTCAGAATAAACCGACGATAAATAACTAATTAGTTAAATTTATTAACATATCTAGAGTTATTAAACAACAGTAAATTTATTTAAGTTTACATATCCATGAAATATTTTTATATTCCACTTTTTCTTTCACACAAATACAAGAAAATAGTATTGTCATTGCCTTGATTTGGTGGATTTTAAATACTTTTTTTCAAACTTAAAATAAATTTAAACGTTTACATTTAGTAAGAAAATTTCATTTAATTTCCATAGAAACGTGTGATTTACATTAAATAATGTTATTTTTCAGAAATTACTAGTTATTTTTATTTTATTTATTGTCACTCTCCATTATCTTCTAAAACTTTATTTATTATTGTATATACACGTTTGTTTTTATTATTTATTGTTTATATTGAATAGTTTTAAACATTTTAATATATGTACCATTTTGGAGAGTCAAATAGAGAGAAGGGAAATTAAATGGAAAAAAAAGTGGTTGAACAAGGTGAAAAAAAATATATGTATCTTTTTTTCCCTTGTTCATTTATTTATTTATTATACTCATACATATTAACCACTTCTATATATTTATATATAACCTTTATTGATTGTTCTGAAGTTTAATCAGTATGTTGTATGTCCAGCAACCCAATATAATTGGGCTGCAAGCTTTAATATTTTATATGAAAATAAAGTGTTTCTCTCTATTATTTTTTCTAAAATTCTTTCCAATGATATATTATAGGTATACCTTCTGAGTATTATTTTCGGACATTCATTTTCAACCTGCATAAGCATTTTACTTTCTTTCTCCTTTATTAAATTATCAAATTCTTTCAAAAGTTAAGTAAGAGTTATTTTTTAAAAATAAATCAAATTAAAGGTACTTTATTGGAAGATTTATATGAACATTGGGCATTAAAACCCTGTAAATTGAAATCAATGTGGATAAGACCTAGCTGATATAAAAAAAAATTAATAATACACTGATATACTGAGTTTAATCAAAATTGTTAGAGCTATTTTCGAGAAAATCGTAAAAATGTGTATTACAGTTGATATAAAGTGGCACTTCCGGTTAGCCGATTTTAAAGAAAAAGTTTTTGTCACATCGGAACCATTACAAATCGTATATATGCAATTTAAGTTTCGTAAAACTTTTCGTTTTTTACCTAGGCTGATCACACTTTCTCTCTCTCACACACACACACACACACCCACACACAAGACCATTTTACAGGACTTGGTTATTTCGAGTCAGGGGACCACAAAACATGTATATCCGTTGAAAACTGAGATTCAAAAATGTTTACGATCGCAATACTTTCCCTTACTATATATTCCATACGTAGGTAAGTCAAAGAGCTACACTTCATTTCATAATAATAATCATAATATCTCAAAGTTAAATCATAATAATAATATAAATAATAGATATCCAATTGTTCCATTGCATTATAAATGAAATATTCTTAATATAAAATAATGAAATGAAATGGATAGGAAGGTAAAAAAGAAAGATATTAACATGAAAAGTAAAATAAGTTTTACTTATTTAAAATAATTAAAACACTTGGACTACAAGTCTTTATCAAACATCACTAGCGGATCCAGGATTTAATTTTTTAGGGGGAAGGGCTTCAACCCGAAAGCTTTTTTTTCATAAAAGTGATGATAATTACTTTGGAAAAAAAAGAAATAAACTAATTACCTATATGAAATGGTGTTTAAGTGATTTCTAAACTCCTTTTAAATGGAATTACAAGAATAATAATACTTTAACAGATAATTTTTTAATAATTGTTATATAAAATATAGTGTTCCCAGTCAAATTTTTATTTTACAATTTATTGGCTGATACTTTTCTTCTTCATCATGTTGAGGACTCCTTGGTTACCCGTACCCACCAGAGTGGAGTCCATCCCTAGAATAGAACAGAAAAATCAACTTTATTCTGGGAAAAAGTCCCTTAATAATAACAATATTGTTCCTACCAATTGACATTAAATCTGGCAAAATGACCTGTTACAATAAAATAATTACTAAAACATAAGTAATAAGACAAATATTTACATAGCCATAAAGATAGATTAAAGAAAACAGATGAGCAATTGGGTCATAATACTGTAATATAGCTGTTAAAAACAATAAAGTAAAAATAATTAAAATAAATTGGAAAGAAATGATAAATTACTTTTACAGGTATTGTAGTAATAGAATACAAATAAATAACTAAAGTAAATATAGATTGATGGTTGACTGTAGTCAATAATTGAAGGGATAAATGGTTGGGCTGATCAGTCAAAAAAAGAAAATAGTAAAAATAATAAATATAATTATTTATTTTTACTATTTTCTTTTTTTGACTGATCAACTCAACCGTTCTTCTTTTCAATTATAGTACAACAATAATTTTTTTTCAAGTTAAAAAGATTTTTTTTTTTACTGTGCATTTTACACCGTAATTTATTATTAATTACATATAAAAACTTAAAAATATTACACCTGTAGTGAACAACCATAACAAGGTTGATATTTTAAGATCATATTTGATCTTATAATGTCATATCATCATACAAGATTATATTCTCTTGGAATAATAAGTATATAATAAGTCTATAACCATCCTGAAATGATTCCAAGATTATTAAATTTTATATTAAAAAAAAAAAACAGACAGCTCCTTGAAACATCCCTTGTTTCCCCCCACTTTTACTACAGTTGCTTGGTGTATTGAGGGCTGTCCACAGGACTGGAGGAGAGACTGAAAAGAGCAATGTTGAATTGCTTCATAAAATTCATCTTTGGGATCCTCAGGCCTTCACATGTTTCCTGCTTCTACACTGAGATGAAGTGACTTTATCCTACTTTCCTGCAACAATTCCTTATTGGTATTTTCCTTTTCCAAGTCCTCAGAACCAAAAATCCCTACATCACCTGTAACTCCTAAACGGTACATCAAAGCGAAAAACGTACTCTTTGTAGGTAACGCCAAGAACGTTAATTTGTACTGAAGGACTACCTAAACATAATAATTTGGTTAAGTGGTATGTCGACAACCACAATCAACAAATGCTGAGTTTCACTAAATTTGTCAAAAACTGAGACAAGTTATTACAAATCGCCCTTCAACTTGGAAAGAAGATCTTTTAGAGAAAAAACTCATGTTATTAAAGTTGTAGAACATCAAATTCCACATCCACTGAGTACAAACAGTTTTAATGTAAGCCAATTATATCTCTTGAATCAGGATTCGTAATTTGTTTAATAAATTAGATTTCTTTTCAAACCTCGCTACATCTTTCGCCGCAGAGAGGTAGAACAGAGACCTATACTGCATATAGAATACTCTAAAAATAATAACTCACACCATACTGACATCATTATCATTACTGTTGGAATACTGAAAATCACACATACCTTCAATACCAATTTCCTGCCATCGCACAGTGGGATGAATGACCAACTAGCCGGAAAAAATTAATGTTAAAATTTTTTAAATCCAACGTTGTAAGATAAAACAAGACTGTTTAATTAGAATTTTAAGTTAATTAATTAAATTAGAAGATAATCATAAATTGTTTTGATTCTTCAGTTATACAGTTCCCAACTATAAATACAAGCCTCTAAACAACTACTGATTTGATGGCTCATGTTTTTTTCCTATATTGTCTTATCTTGCATATGAGTTCAATACCACAAGTTACTTTTTTTTATTGGGTTGGCAAACATGTCCTTTCGGTTTTTCAGAATGAAATAAAACTCAATGTATTATAGAATGTATTATAGTAGAAAATTGATTTTAATCTACAATATATTGACCATTATTTAATATGACTTTTTTCCATCTTTCCACTAACTTTATAATGAGATGGTATAGAATTTCTGGAGTTTATTGTTAAAAAACTGATCCAAGTGGTTTTTGATGTCCTTTTCCTTTTGGAATTTCTTTTCAGTCATCGACTTCTGCAGAGATCGGAATAAGTGGTAATCACTTGGAGCTAGGTCTGGTGAATAGGTAGGGTGGGGCAAAAGATCCAAGATGGCTGAAAGAGTAATGCTTCGGAACTAGTACCGTTTTTATAATGAAATTTGACGAATAACTATTATTTTACAAATAATTATTCCTTTAATTCATTTATTAAATAAATTATGTCAACAATGCCTAGATAGCTGGAGCGATAGGAGTGTGTGATAAAGCGGAGTGATCAGAGCTGTGTCTACAATAATTTCACAGCGCCTACAGTGACTGTCACTGTGATCACCAGCTCTGGCCTAGTCACTCCGCCTATATCGTTCCATCACTAATCCTGACTGCTGACATATATTATCGGCTTAGTTCATGTAGGTAGGCAGGATAGGGATTTTGGGTCAATAAATTGCTAGATTATTTCGTCTGTAGAATTCCTAACTAATAATATTGTAATTTCTTAACTTGTATAATGTTCTTTTACAAATTTGTATGTTTTAATTTTCAAAATGACGTTTTATATTATTTAGATAGTTTCTTCTTTTTTTTTATAAGTTCATATAGAGTGGCCCTACTCATCTAGGTTCTATTCTTCATGTATAAAACTCGAAAATTGAAATTCAATTGAAGTTTATGCATGTGGGTATTTTCGGATCTTTCGCTCATTAGTAAATCGTAGGTTATAATGGGCTTGAGTCCATAAGTGCCCAATTTCTACTTAATTCCATCACTTAAAAAATCTTAGTGTATCTATGTAAGTTTATTTATTTCTTGTCTTTATAGTCACCAACATCAATTACGAACTTTGTTAGTTCGTAAAAATAAATATGAATTCGCTCTTTGTATCTAGGAAATTTCGATCTCTATGGAAATTCGATAATCTTGTTTTAATTGTATTCTGGTTTGGTTCTGTTTATTATTTTTGTTTTTTTCTATCGTAGGGTTTAAATGACTCAATTATAATGAAAGATAAACAGAACTCCATAAAATGATCGCGTTAGTCTGTGCAGAAAATATTGAAATGTTTTCTGGTGTGTTTAGCTTCTGAAAGGTTTTATCCTATTCATTGATTTTTTGTTGACTGTGGATTTAATAAATTAAGATGATTAATCTCGTGAATCTCCCTGAAGTGGTTTTAGAGAAGATTTTCTCATTTTTAACTTATGACAGTATCGCTCAAAATAGAGTTGTAAGTTGACAATTGTGTCTTTTTATCTTCACTTATCAACTTGTATCAAATGTTAATAGAAAACTGTTGCAAGATTATGTGCAAGTTTTTACAACTCACGATTGTTGATTTTCAATGTTCTTTCAGGTATGTAACAAATTTAACGAAATCGGTAGCAAAATGTTGAACAAAGGATATTATGCTGCTGATCGTTTTCATGGCAAAACCCTTAAAGCAATTAAAGCCAAGTTACCAAGAAGAGAGTCTGAAAGAAGGGTTCATCCTCTAGCTAGGCAATGTGATATTTTAATCGCTATTGAGACTCGTTTGTCAATGTTAGCTATGACATTTACAAAATGGATGGATGCGAAATTGTGTTGTTTCATCCCAGGAAAGGTAATACTAATAAATAATCATATAGGTATTATGATAGAGCTACTACTAATATTGTTTTTTGAATTTATGAGAAAAGTTGCAGTTGACCTAAATTTCATTTTTTGATCTAGTGATTGATAATCTTTGTGACATCCTTTCATTCCTGAAGTATATTATCTATCAATCATAAACATCTTTAAAATACACCCAGTTTTTTTTCTATTTTAAAGTTTTAGAGTATAATTTGCAATGATGGTTTTTAGAAGTACTTCAGCTCTGTTCAAATGACAATTTTTTCGATTCTATAGCTGTCAATGATTATTATTTATTATGGATGGACAGAATTTTCTTTTTTAAGGAATATTAAAGTTAAATTACCTTCAATTTTTAAAACTATATTTTTCCTGCTTTTAAATTTTATTTTTTTCAATATTATTTACCTTTTACTATCAAGTTATGTTTATTGGTACTTTTGCACAAGTGTCACATCTGTTGACAGATGAGTCAAGATCACTTTGATTATACTGTTAAAAGTTCAAAAATAGCTGAATATTGACAATCATGTTCACAGATGAACTTACTAGTAACCAATAAACAAATCCTCCATGGTTCCTTTTTAGTTGAAGCTTGCGCCTTCTGAGCAGAGATCGATTGCCTCTCTGTATGTTCGGAAACTTTTCTGAGTTAGATACAGTGCTATCAATCTGATCTTGAGCCACCTGTCAACCTTATATTATACTTTAAACTGTTAATCCTTATAATCAAATAGATTTAATATGAATTCGAATATTTTGTAGATATATTTTAACGACATATCCTAATGTTATAGGTTATTGATGAAATAATGCGTGTGTTGCGATGTGTTGCCAATAATCCTAGTCCTCCACGTGCTCATGAAATTCTTCAGGAGCTTAGAGATATATCATCAATGGCAATGGAACATTTCGATGAAAAAATTCTACCTACTCTTAAAATGTCGATGGGTGTTCCTCCATTTTTGCAAGGTATATTGAAATATATGTTTCTTATTAGATTTTATAAAAAATAAGTTTCTTTTTAATTTATTATTTATGCAATTGTTTCCTTAAAGTGTTTCGTGCAGTTCTACTTTGAATATTTCAAGAAATTCGATAATTCATTTTGATTAGCAATATTTGTCGTTTTTGCTTTAGTAATTGTACAAATGCATTTTTCTGTTTTAATACAGATGTCTCTGTAAAGAGCCACAAGAACTCTTAGATATAAATTATTTTTCATTATTTCCTGAAACCTAGATTAACAAAAATAAGTTATTAAAATTAGAGGATAACTAGAAAATGATATCAGAAAAAAAAATGATAAAAAGTTATTATTTATAAAATCATTACACCAGTGCAATAATTTCATATTTAATAGCAAACCTAGAACTAATATATTGAATGAATGATTTTTGTTTACCCAAGGTCAATTTATTTTTTACCTCAAAAGCTAAAATAATAGCTCATAAAAATTGTGTTGTAAATGTTATTTTTGTAACATAATTTTGACAAAACTAGAAACGTTATCTATCTCTATGAAGGCCTTTTCACAATGGAAAATGTTCTAAATTTATTTTTATATGCTAAACTCTATCTATGTGCATGTTTTCCTTATGTTATTAAAACAAATCTTGATTAGTGCCAGTGAACCATTGTCTAATTATGTTATTTTATCCTTCAAAGGGAAATGGATTATCAATTTAAATATAGTGTTTGAATTTATAAAATAGTTTTGTTAAATTAGGAACTAACAATGATTGATTGGTTCATATTTCATTATTCTTAAATGTTTATAGTCAAATATTTATAAATAAAACATGTCATGGATTTATATATGGATATTGATTTGATATAAAATTAGTTCCAGTTATTTTTGTTACAGCTGGTTCAAGCCGAGCTGATGAAGAATTGACCTTAGTGCCAAAACAGCGACTGTGTGTTTTTCCTCTTCATCCTTCAAGCGGTACAGTATCAGTTGCAGAATTCAATAAGTTAGTCGTCAGGGTAAGTATTTACCAACAAAGTTAAATGATAATAATTGTTATCATTAATTCTATTGTATTTAATTAATATTGTATGATTTATATTTAATTTTATTGTCTGTTTAAGGAATCTATTAATAGAAAAAAGATAAAGGCTCAAGCTGAATTGATAAGTAAACAAGCAAATGAGATCTCAGAATTGCGGAAGCATGTTGAAGAATGGGAAGCCAAGTTACGAGACCTTACCGCAAACTTAATAAAAGCCAAAGATCTCCCAGGAAATTCTTCTGCTATCGGTAAAGTAAAATATTTATTTTATCTGTTAATTATACATATCTAAGAGTCGCTTATCATGAACTGCGCAAAGATAAGGTCATTTCTCTTGAAGATTTTTATTTTTTTATTAATTTGGTATTATAAAATTTAAATAACTTAATTTAAACTTTTACTGCTTAATTTGGATATTTTTTTTTCTTATAATTATTTTCTTTTTCAGTGTCTACTAGACAGAGTAGGAAAAGGAAAAGCGAAGATGAAAGGATTATAACAAATAAAAAATGTAAAAAAGGCGATCATAGAAAAAATAGATCTGGTAGAAGCAGAGATATGCTGATTTGTAAATGAATGATTTATTTCTATGTCAGTGTGTTTTTATGTCATTTTATACGTGATATGTGTATTTCGTAAAGTCCTCTGTTTAATTAGATTATTAATTAAAAATAATTATTTTAGTAAATTAATGAAATTTTACTATGAATATTAAATGTTTATTATGTTACATTTATTTTGAAATATTTTAATACTAAAAATTAATTATAATTAAAGGATTTTTAGTGGTTATTTTTATTTATTTTGTTTTTTCATAAAAATGTTAAATTATCCTACATGTATATATTTGTTAAATTTTAAGTCTTCAGGAATTTTATTCAAGATTAATGAATAAAATGGACAACCTAAACTTATTTTTATCTGTTCAATTTTACTTTTTAAAGTGTACACATTATTAAGTTTACTGGAGATTTTTCATGATCCAAAAATGGTTATAAATATTTAATGAAATCTTTTATTAAGACAAAAATCACAATTTTTCATTTTCTTCATGTCGAGAACTCTCCTGAGAGGCGTGTGATATGGCTTATAATATAGTCCCAACTAGCTAACTCTTTTTTTTTTTTTTTTTATTGATACTCCTACCTCGCCATTTGTAAATTACAGAGGAGGGGGAGTAGGGTTGTTCTAGAACTATAACCAAACCCAAATAGCTAACCATAGAATTCCTAGTCCTGCCATAAATATTGTTACAAGGAAATATATACAGATTTCAACAGAAAAATTAATTTTTTCAAAAACTTTATTAGAAAATAAAATGTATATCAATAGAGATTAAAACAAAAAAGAAATTACTCAAAATGTCCCCCTTTTCCTTGACACAGGCATTTAATCTCTGTGGCCAGTCATCAAAAGCAGCACGCAGCACTTCTTGACGAAAGCGCTTAACTGCTCGGACCAGAGATTGTTTCAGATTTTCCAAGGTAGGGTGTGCTTTGTGATATGCCATAATCTCCAGTTCAGACTAAAGCTGATAATCTAGTGGGTTGAGATCAGGGTTTCCTGAGGGCCATTCTAGGGCAGAGATGAACTCTGAAATGTACTTTTGCAGCCACTATTGAATTGACCTCTGGCCTTGTGAATTGGAGAGGAATTCTGCTGGAAAACCCAATGACTTACAGCAAACAGAGTATTACTTAAAGGCTTGACAACAGTTTCGAAAATATTGTCCTGATAGTTTTCAGAGGCTGTTTTAATTATTAATAATCAAATGTTGCTGATCATTAAATTATTCTTTAAAATTCTTACTTATATCCAAACCCTGAATAACTTTATTATTCCGTACAGTTGTTCGAAAGACCCAGTAGAGAAAAAAAAATCTATTGTGTGAGAACTCAAGGTTCTAAAGCACAAGGTATGTGAAAATAAAATAAAAACTATAGCTTTAAAATCATTAATATTTTGTAATCGATAATTGTGTCGACTATTGTGCAGCTCAATATTATTTTATACTAATTATATTATTTCTTGAACGTTTTAACAACTATTTTAAGTTTGTTTGTAGAAGATGTTAATGAAAACGAGTCAGAATTATTAAAACAACTATTTTGGAGTTTAATTTTTGTCTTTCAGGTTTGGTGATTGGTGAAGAATACTCATCTAAAAAAATAAAATTTTATTCTTGGAATGATTTTATATTATATGTCCTCCATTTTTATCCTAAACAAAGCTGTTGATTTTTTTTTTTTTTTTTTTTTTTACAAAGAAATAAGTAATTATATAATATTTTAGAACTCGTTTCCATTAAATGAACACACGAAAAAATGCCATGGAGAAAACAGTTACTAATTAATTTCAAATTATTACTTATTCAAATTGTACCATTTCATATTGGTGATTGTAGTTTGGATTCCACATAAAACATTAGAAATGTGTCTTTAATCACAATGTAATAGGAGCCTATAAAGAGTGTTTTTTTTTTTTGTTCTTCGTAAGGATAATTTCTGGATCCGTTCCAGGATTTGGAAAGCAATTTATGCTGAATTTAGGAAAGACCTGATAGATCTCAGCAGAAGTTTAAGATGAAAAGTTACAAAATACATGAAAAATAAAAAATGCATAAGGAAATAATTACATACTGAGTTGTTGAATTTCAAAATAGAAATAAAAACACTTGAGAGTAAACTGAATATAAATATATTTAAAAAATTGCAATACTAAGGTTGCAGAAGATTCAATGCTCCCAATTTCAAAAGGAACTGTTGAATCATCAGTGATTCAATTGATGAATAAAGAGAGAGAGCGTGCTGAATTCCATTAATATATTTAGGAATGGTTCGATAGATTTTGGATACCTATGATGAACTCATGGCTAAGTTTATAATCTTGCCCAATGTGACTAACATATATCAATCAATTTCTATCCACTCCTAGTTAGACTTTAGCCTCACTTGGAATTAATAGTAATTACTATCAATCTTCCGAGTTCACCATCCTCCCTATTCCTCTGACTCATGTCCTCTTCCATGTCATATAACCATTTCATTCTCTGTCCTCCAACATCCCTTGCACTTGACCTCACCTAAGATGACCAGATTTTAACATTGGCAATGCAGGACATCATTTACCAGAGGGAAGAGAGAGGTTCTTGATTAAAATTTGGTTTATTCATTAAGTTAAAACAATAGTTCAAATTTGTTGTTATAATACTTAATTTTCCATAATGATAATCTGGTGCAAATGTTAATTAGATGACATAGTATTTTTTTCCTACAGTCAAAAATCAAGAAGTAATGTTTGACCAGCACCTCTCCTGGAATAACTGTAACTCCCAGATTACCTGAAAATTCATAACTGTCCTTAAACAACTCCTAAAGGCGGATCTCCACTGAGGCAACATGTAGCATGCGGCATTAACGCATTGACGCAGTCCTTCCACAGAAGGAACACAAAGCGACAAAGAATATGTCTGCTTGCCGCATGCTACAAATTGACCGTTGCTGCCTATCGAATGCATCATCTCTCCATATGATTCGACGTGTCGAATAGTGTCGCCGTCTATTCAACGGGAAATTCATTGTGAGAACAGTTTTTATTTTTTTAACTTGTATATATTGGTTGAGACAGGTAAAAACGAAATTGGTGACGGGGGCCATCAAGGAAAACCTTTTTATAGCCAGATTATTTCCATCTTTTTTTACCTAAACGGTGCAACAAAACTCCTTATCTTTCATTAGTTAAAAGTTAAATTCTGCGTTGAACGACTACCTAAACTTAATAATTTGGTTAAGTGGTATATTCGTAAATCACGGTCAACAAACGCCGATTTTTACTGAATTCTTCAAAAACAAACAAATTACTATAAATGGCGCTGCAACTTGGGAATGAGTTCTCTAAGAGAAAAACTCATAGAATAAAAGTTATAGAGCATCAAATTCCGCGTCCACTGACTACTAACAGTTTTAAAATAGATCAGTTATATTTCTCGAATCGGGATTCTTTATTTCTTCATGAAATATGTTTGTTTTTGTACCTCATTATCCTGTTTTTTACATATCTGAACACTTATGTACAAGTTTTTTATTATTTTTTTTTTAATTTTATTTTATTGAGATTTACAATTGTATTACATGGAAAATACAATAAGTAAATGTGACATCGGTAACATGACATGTACAACATGAAGAGAAACTACCCATTGGTTGAACTCAAATTAAAGTTCTATATTAGAATGTCCCGAGGCCATCTTCTTTTCAGACGCCTCGGAGGGTTATCAGGGATCGAGGAGGAAGCAAGGTTTGAAACAAGAGGATTCGGATGGTTCTGCAGTTACTTATATACAAGTTAAAAATAAAAACGTTTCCCTCATTTTACGCAATGAATTTTCCGTTTCGATCCTTATGTAACTGGTCCAATATTCTTTACATCAGCCGCCATTTTTACAGGTAGCAAGATCCGACTGGCAGACCCATTTTCAAATATAGATGTTATAAATATTTTTTTTTTTAATTATTTTAAAGTTTTAATCAAATAATGCCTATTTTTTCTCACATACTCTCGGACTAAAATGAATTTTTCACTACTCTACAAGCGTAAAATATTGATTTATACGGAATTTCTTGACCATATCGTGGAGTTTTTCTTTTCCATTTATGCAGCTGCCGCGACTGTTTGTAATGACATGATTTATAAAACTGGAGTTGCCTGAATGGAATCGCTTTATCGCATGCTACACAAGTGTACGACAAAGCACATGCGATGTGGAGCAACAAATTATGCATGCGACATTAATTGAATTTCTCTGTACATTAAGTAACATGTTGTTCAGTGTTGCCTCAGTGGAATTCCGCATTAAGATTCCGTGATTGTTTTCCTCTAAAAACCAGACAGCTCCTTGTAACCTCCCTTATATTCCCCCTCTTCGACTGCGGTTGCTTGGTGTGCTGAGGGCTATCTGTCTGACTAGAAATAAGATTAAAGAAACTCATGAACTGTTTCATAAAATACATATTTGGGAACCCCAAGCGCTCCCATTCAGGTACGACAATTCCTCCTTGGTGTTGTCCTATTCCAAATCCTCAGAACAAAAAACCTTCTCTACATCCTGGAACTCCTTACTTCAAGTTTCTCTATCCACTCTCTCAATATAAGGTCTCAACCTATAGATTTATACATCTCCCATAAAACTACTTTCTTCAGCAAATGCTGCCTCCTTTTGGAACTCTCTACCTCACTCCATACGTCAATCTTCGTCCACAAATTCCTTCTAACAACTCCTGTTCCACCACCTTCTCCATATTCAAACTTCCGCAAACATGTGAAATTCACTTGCGTCTTTACAAAGTCTAATTTAATCAACTGCAAAAACAATCAACAGTTAATTAGGCATCATTTTGTATTCATCTAAGCCAGATTAATGTTCTTAATTATATAACTCTGTTATTATTCTTAGGGAACTGTAGTCCCAGAATAAAATTATTTTTTCATTTCTTAATATTTAGCTGAAATAAGGTCAAAGATTAAATTCTAAAGGCGTATTTTTTTTATGGAAGAATAATTTGATGATGTATTTGACTTCTAATTTATGATCTCATTAATAGCACATTTTATAAGACTTAAATGTTTTGTGCCAGCAGTTTGTACACAT